AGGACAGAAATACAGACCCACATCATTGTTGCTCCCAAGCCATGTGGCTGAGGAAGGTTGACACCAGATGCTCCAGAGTCACACAGGCACTTGGGCTGTTTCTTAGCGACATGGCTTGCAGCATGTCGGCTTCCAACACACGCTGAAGGCTGGACAAGGCTACATGGGACCATGTTTTTGTTGTGGTTATTTGTTTGTTTTTAATTATCTGGGAATGTGGTGCACACCTTGAGTCCTAGCACTCCCAAGGTGGAGGCAGGAGGATCAGATTATTCTTGGTGATATAGTAAATTCCAGGCCATCCTGTTTAAAACACCAGCACTGAGGCCGGGCGGTGGTGGCGCACACCTTTAATCCCACCACTCAGAAGCTAGAGACAGGTGGATCTCTGTGAATTCAAGGCCAGCCTGGGCTACAGATTGAATTCTAGGACAGTCCAGGCTACACAGAGGAACCTTGTCTCGAAAAAAAAAACAATAAAATAAATCCCAGCACCGAGAAAAGAAAAACCAAAACAAAAAGTCCGACTGAATCACAGTGTGCTGGGCAACCATGGACACCAGTATGCACTGTGGGCCCCACAGCCAGAGGTAGGCGGCATGCCCAACATGTCCTTGTCCCCACGTATATCCTGTAAGGGAGATAACTGTGTCCGAGGTCTATCCCAGGTCCAAAGACACGATGTGTTCAGGGGAAATCTGAACCCCAAGTCTCTGGCCTTCCTTACCCTCACATGGGTCCAGCTGCTGTACCCACCGAGAGCCCTCAAGGTGCCGAGGGGAAGGACCTCGTCCCTGTCTGGTGGGGACATCTGAGGCCGCCTTGGGTGCCGTAATATGCCGGACCACTAGGTCCCTTGGCTGGAGGTACGTTGGCATGGGTAGGGGACATGAGGTGACCGCGGCCTTGCGGCCACGTGTTGGACTGGGAAAGGCCACCAGACTAGGGTGTGGGACAGTGTGGCTGGGAAATTCACAAAATGGAGAGCTAAAGTTGGCCCTGCTCCCAGGTGGGAGGGCCGCCTGGCCACAAGCCATCTCAAAGGTGGCGGTGGAGGGGGCAGCTTCCTGGAGCTGATAAGGGCCTCTGGGGACGGGGTGTGTGTGAAAGGGAGCCCAGGGTACAGAGGGAATCACAGACAACCCAGGCGCTGGAGCCGCTGTCCAGTCCGAGGTCCCGGGCTCCCCAATGGCTGCGACGCTCTGCATCCTGTGGGAAATGGGCAGGCAGAGAAAACACACCGGGCTCCCACACCAGGGCCCTGTGCCTGCTGCCGACAGAGGCACAGGGTTCACACCAAACCAGGGTGAATAGGGCACCAGTTTGGGAGCCACAAACACGCGTTCCATATCAGAGCATCCAGCAGGAAGAGCCAAAGGGAGGTTAGATGACTTCATCCTGTATTTAAGGTAACAGTTTCATCATAATTTTATCTGTGAATACAAGTGATTTGCATTCATTTCTGGTTTGCTTTTGCTGCCCCTCACTGGGGATCCTAGGCGGGGCTCCACCCTGACCACGCCCCCAGCCCTCACTGGGGATTCTAGGCGGGGCTCCACCTGACCACGCCCCCAGCCCCTCACTGGGGGATTCTGGGCGGGACTGCACCCTGATCACGCCCCCAGCCCCTCACTGGGGGATTCTGGGCGGGGCTCCACCCTGACCACGCCCACAACACTCCAAAGATTGGCAGGATGAAAGGAGCTCCTTTGATGTCTATGAGAAAGAAGAATGCCCGAGGATGGGTGGAGACGGGACCCGGGAGAGCATGGAGTAGTGTGAGGAGTAACAGTGTCAAGGAGCCCTTAGTCTGCAGTGGACACAATGAGATGGGGAAGAGGTATAGAAGCTCCGATGAGCTGTGTAGGCAGGCTGGGCAGGTGGATAACGATGAGGCCAACCTGGTCTACACAGCCACTTCCAGGCTAGCTAGGGCTACACAGGAAGATCTTGTCAGAAAACAAAACAAAAACGGCTGATCAGTGGTTCCAGGAACTTGCTGTTCTTTCCAGAGGATCTGAGTTCAGATCCCGGACCCCGGTGGCTCATGACCAGCTGTAACTCTGGCTGCACAGGACCTGACTCTTGCAGCTTCAGGCTCCTGTTCACACATGGCATTCGCTCACGCAGCCACACACATAAAGTAGGAAATCTTTTTTAAAGTTTAACCTGCGTAAAACAGGAAACTATCCCAATTGTAGAATAAAATATGAAGTATTTTATGCACTTGCAAGTTCAGATAATTTTTCTTTATATGTCTGACTTGCAAGATAAAGCAGGGTGGTGGCACATGATTTTAACCCCAGCACTCGGGAGGCAGAGGCAGGCGGATCTCTGTGAGTTCGAAGCCAGCCTGGTCTACAGAACGAGATCCAGGACAGTCAGGGTCACAGAGAGAAACCCTGTCTCAATAAAACAAAAAACAAAAGCAAGATAAATTACCAGCCAGGTTGGCGGCACACATCTGTTATCCCAGCACTTGGGAAATAGAGGATCAGGAATTTATGGCCATCCTGGGAAACACAGTAAGTTTGAGATTCTCTCAAAATGAGTGAGGAGACTCCCTCAAAATGCCAAAATGAAATTTAAAAAATACAGATTTAATACTACCACAAAGTCACTGGGGCATGGTGGCACACACCTTTAATCTCTGAGTCCTCAGGCAGAAGCAGGTGGATCTCTGAGTTCCCAAAGAGATCCTGTCTCAGAAAACAGCCAAAAAGGGGGGGGGGGTTTACCCTGGGGGTCTGGCATGTTAAGAGTTTGTTTCCTAGCACCCATGTGGGTCAGCTCACAGCCACCTGTAACTCCAGGGGACTGGAGACCCTCCTCATGCCTCCCTGGACCTGCACTCTGGTGGTCCACAGACTGCCTACAGGCCATGCACCACACACTTAAGTGATCCTTATTATTTGTATGTATCTGTGAGCAGTGTGTGCAGCTCAGGGCCCTGAGGCATTGGATGCCCTGGAGTGCTCTTAACCACTGAGCCATCTCTCCAGCCCCCCGATTTCCCTGATGTATGAAATGCTTTAGCAAACACAACCAACTGTGCAGAAAGAGGCCATGAAATACGGACTATTTAAATACACATCTTTATATTAAACGTACACTCATCCAACCTTTAAATGACTAATGTTGACAGAGATGGCTCTTACAGAACCGCGGACGTGGGCACTAGAAAGCTGGCTGTAGAGATCAGCCAGACGGCTCAGTGAGAAGACACTTGCCCCCATGCCTGGTCACCTGACTTCAGGTCTAAAACTCCACATAGTGAGAGACCCGATGCCTGGCAGCTGACCTCTGACCTACACACATGCTGTGACAAGTGTACCCCCCACACAAATGTGGGGTTCTTTTGTTGTTTCAGACAGGGTTTCGCTCTGTAGCCTTGGCTGTCCTAGAACTCAATTTGTAGCCCAGGCTGGCCTCGAACTCAGGGATCTGCCTGCCTCTGCCTCTCAAGTGCTGGGATTAAAGGCGCGCACAGCCAAGTCCCAGCCTGGCTGGATTTTGTGTGTTGAAATTGGCTGTGGCTCATCAGGTCTGTCATTCTAGCAGCAGGGAGATTAAGGTCATGGGACTGTCTCAAGTTGGAGGCCAGCCTAGGCTACATAGCAAGTTTCAGTCCCAGGCTCAAAACAAAGGACCCTGTCTCAAAAAAAAAAAAAAAATTTAAAAAGGGGGAGGGAGGTGGGCAGTGGTGGCACACCCCTTTACCCCAGCACTCAGGAGGCAGAGGCAGGAGGATCTCTGTGAGTTCGAGGCCAGCCTGGTCTACATAGTGAGATCCAGGACAGCTGAGGCTGCACAGAGAAACCCTGTCTCACAAAAAAAAAAAAAAAACAAAACACAAAAAAAGGGGTGGGGGGCTGTGATGAGGAGGTGGAGTTCTCGTCTGGCATGCCCTATGCCCCAAGCCCCATAGAAACCGAATGTGGCAGGCCTCAGGGTCAGTTCAGGATCACAGCGAGCTACAGAACAAGGCCCTGACTCACAAAGTAAAAAGGGGGTTGGTCCACAGCTCGGCAGGCAGAGTGCTCCCCACACACAGGGAGCACCTGGTTCCATCCCCAGCACCCAGGAGACTTTGTGGCCAGCAATCGCTGGGCTTGAGGAGAGGGTCTCACTCTGTACCCTAAGTTACCCTCGATATTTGTGGCAATCCTCCTGCCTCAGGCTCCTGATTCCAGGCTAGGAAGGAGGCTTATCCTTCCTTCCTGTGTCCTGGCGTGTGCAGCTGCTCTTCTTCCTCGCTGGGTCACAGGAGACTCAGCCCTGGGACAGCCTGGGTTCTGCAGGTCAGCATTTCAGAGGGGTGGATGGGGAGGCGCAGCCACACGTCTCTGCAGCAGGTGGTGGAGAGGGTGGGCAGTCGCAGTAGGGCCAAGCAGTCGGACTGCAGACAGGGCTCTAGTGAGGGCGCATTGTGCAGTCAGTGCAAAGGTCCTGAGGCCCCACTGGAGTGGGGCACAGTGTCGGGACGCTTCGATTTGGTGATGCTGCCGAGGGCCATGGACTTGGGGGGCTGGACTCCAGCTCAGCGTTAGCAGATGGAGGCCTCTGGAGTCAAAACCAGTGTGTCACTTCTGACACTGCCTCTAAACGCCCGCCCACTCTTAAGGGAGCTTGCAGCCGCAGGAGGCAGTTCAGAGTGCTGACCTCCCTGCAGACAGGCCCTTCCTCACCCTGGGGAGCCTATGGCTAGAAGAGACGTGACTCAGCTCTGCAGAGCACACACCACCCTGCCGAGGGCTGTCCTGCACTCCTGGGGAGACCTCAGCTCCCGCGGGCACAGCATGTGGCCTGGCCCGGACTCTGGGGTCCACTGTACCTGTCATGCCCACATCTGGAGTGGGGATGGGGAATCCTGCAGAGCCAAGGCGCAGGCCTGGTCAGGAGGACCTGAGGTCTTCCTCACAGCCCCGTACCTGGCTGGTCTTAGTGACCTCCCAGCCCCAGGAAGACACACTGGAGCCATGAAGAAGCCAGGGCAATCCTAAAATCTTAAACCTTTAATTAGTTTCCCTCTTTCCTTCTCTTTGCTTCCACAAGGAGAGGAGGGGCCTCCATCACCTGCACATGGCTCGTGGCCGTGGGGTGCCGGGCAGGGTCCTGGGCGCCGGGTCACATGCAGCCCCGGCAGGAGGCCCGAGTGCTGCCGAGGTCCCTGCAGCTTGGCTAGGTGCGTTGGCTGGGCAGCTCCTGGGAGATGAAGCGGCGCAGGCGCTCCAGGTACTGACTGTACAGCTCAATGTCGTTGTGCCCGGCGCCCTCCACCCACAGCGGCTCCACGGCCTTCGGGCAGCGCTCATACAGTGCCAGCCCGTGTGAGAAGTCGATCACCTCGTCCTCCGTGCCATGGATGATGAGCACCGGTGACGTGATCTTCGACACCTTCTCGATGCTGAGGGAGAAGATGGTCAGGCCGTCCCCCGCTGCCCCAGGCCCCTCCCCCAAGCCCCTCCCCCAGGCTCACTTAGGGAAAGCGTCGAAGCAGTAGGTCTTCTTGGTGTCAGGGAAGGCCACCCGCATGCCCGAGGTGAGAGGCGAGTGCAGGACCACGGCAGCGCACTCATAGCGTGACGCCAGGTCCACCGTGGGCACCGTGCCGATGCTCTGGCCGTACAGGATGATGCTGTCCGGGCTGATGCCGTACCTGACCGACGACAGCAGGAGGGGTCAACAGGCCCCGAGATGGCAGCTCCCGCGCCCTGCCCAGCCGCAGCCCCCTGGTTTTCCCCCAGTCCCTCTGACAGGGCCTGAGTGAGGCAGGCTGGGGACCTAAGAGTCCAGACCCAAAGTTCTGGTCCCTCCCGACCCCAGAGAGGGAAGGCAAGCCGTCTCTTCCCAGCGCTGCCTCCCCACAAGCTTGGGTCCTGGGAATTTAGGAAACTGTGTCCACGGTTGGCTCGGCCCAGTTTAGGGTCCCCTGAGTCCCTCCTGCCCAATTAGAAGCTTGCACCACACAGGCAGTGTGGCTGCGCAGGTCCTGGGAGCCAGCGCATTCCCGGCTTCCCCTGCGGCCCCTCCCACCCCAGCAGATCACTGTGGCCACTTAGCCCGGCAAACAGGCCTAGTGCCACCCTGCCAGAGTTCCCACCTGTCACAGGCCTGCGGGACCCTCCCCTGACCCCAGGCAGGAGCTGACCGCCCAGGGGCAGCCTGCATGGCTCCTGTGCTAACCCAGACCCACCCGCTCGGCCTGCTCGGCACTACCCACAGCTCAGGCCTAAGCTCCTCCCGTTATGGGGGGCCCCTTCACAAGGGTCCTCCCACCTCCCCTGAGGCTTAGCTATGGAGTTGGGCAAGGTCTCCCAGGTCAGTGCCTTAGCGGGACAAATGGACAGAGCTGGGACACAGGGCAGTGACTCTCCGGCGGCTGGACAGTGGGAACAGGGGGGGCAAGCTCAGGGTGCAGGCACCCGGGGCACGGGGACCCAGCCCAGTGACAGCTGGCACATCTCCGGGGTAACCAGGATCCCCCACGCTGTCAGCGTCCCGGCACCACACGGGACCCAAATGACAAGGTTGGGGGCCTCCAGAACTAGAGATGGCTGGCCTCTTCTATCCCCCTGCACGGGCCCTGCTCTATGAGGGAGTGAAAGGAGCCCTCGTGAGGTGGGGTGAGGTTGGGAGGACCAGGATGCAGGGTGTGATAGAGCAGCCTCGAGACTAAAGGTCTGGGGTGCAGGCTGGCGGTCCAGACTGCTGACTGCAGCATCACCTGGGCACCCTCCCATCACCTTGCCAGCCCCACCGCCACCTGCCCCAGAGCGAGTTACGCTAATGACGGAGTCTTAGGGTCCCCTAGGCCTTGGGAGGCCAGGTCCCTCAACAGCCATCTCCCAGACATCTCTGGCTGTCCTCTGCTCACCCCCAGACCAAGTGAAGGAACCTCCCTCTTCCTGTGGACATCACCAGCTTTCTTCTGGGCCACAGGTGCCTATTCCCTCTGGCCCCACCTGGCACTGACGACACCCCCACACCCTGCTCACCTGGTGCGAAGGGCCTGCCAGGCTGCATCAATGTCAGCATAGAGGTTCTTCTCCGAGGGCCGGCCAGAGCTGATCCCGTAGCCAGAGTAGTCATAGGAAAAGATGTTGCAGCCGATGCGCGTGCCCAGGCCGACATAGAAGCTGCACATCTGGCCCAGGTCCACTGCATTGCCATGCGAAAAGAGAACTGTGTACCTGGTGGTCGGGCAAAAGGGCACGGACAGAGGCTGAGCACCCAGGCTCATCTCCGCAGACACACACGGGACAGCCCAGCTCCACTGCAGGCTCCCGGAGCGGGAGGCAGGATGGGGGGGGGGGGGTTCCAAGGCTAGTTTGTCTGCAGCCCCTGGGTGTGGTTGGCCAGCAGGCCCCGGGCTGCCCATCTACAGGGGGCATCAGGACCCTACAGAGGGACCTACAAGAGTCCAATCTTGACGGACACAAACCCAGCGCAGGAGGCCGATGGCCAAGGCCGACGGCCCTCTCCGTGGTAGCATGTACACCCCACGGGAACCGCACCGACAAAGAGCCTGCTCCCCAAGCGCATGCTCTATTGCTGGGGGACGGAGGACCGGGCCCCATCCCTGGCCACCAGCAAACGCTTAGGGTCCATTCTGTTTCCAGTTGGCCAAAGGCCAACCCGGACAGGCCTGTAACAAAACAACGGCCTGCGCCAGGTCGAGGCCACGCACCTGCGCAGCCCTGCCCAAGCGGCTTCCTGGGGCACCTGCCTGGCTCGCCCTTTGGACTCCAGACTCCTCCACCCGGGAAGCCGTCACCCTCTTCCTTACCCTCTGGTGAGGACCTGAAAGCAAGGCCCTGAGAGCAGCAGAGGCTCCTGTTGACAGGAGGGGCCAGGCTGGAAGGCAGTAGTGCGGCGCCCCCGCACCCCCCCCCCCTGCAGCGGGCCCCGCGGATGGGCAGGCGGACGGCTCACCTGGCCCCGGGCACGCAGCGCACATACATGCAGGCGATGCGGTTGGCGCGCGCGCTCTTGGTCAGGAAGACCTCGATGGTGTCCAGCTCGCGCTGGCCGTACTGGAAGTCAGCGCGCTCCGTCAGGTGGATCTTCCAGCGCCCAGGGGTGGCCGCTGAGGTGCGCAGGGGTCCCGAGGGGGCAGCACCGGCCCCTCCGGGCCCCGGCTCGGGTTCGGGTACCAGCGAGTAGGTGGGCTCGGGAGGCAGGAAGGCGAGCTTGGCGGCGATGCGGCCCGGGCAGGGCGGGCAGCAGAAGAGGCAGCAGAGCTCGCTCACCGACAGGCCGTTCATGGCGGGCACCGGGCCCGCGCCGGGCCAGGGGAGGGGCGGGGGTGCTCCGAGACGCGGGCAGCGGGCGGCCAGGCTCGCGGGCCGCACACCTCAGTCCCGTTAGGAGGCCGCGGCCCGGCCCCATCGCGGTCCACGGCGAGCCCCCGGGAGCCTCGCAGCCACAGGTCTCCATGCCGAACAGTGAGACAGCCTGCGGGGACACCGACATGTGGGTTCCCTCCAGAAAGCGCGCCAGGCAGAGGAGGGCGAGTCCCCACACCCACGGTCTACCCTGTTCCTCGCCGGGGCCTCGGCCACCCAGCACCCCAGGCCTGTGCCCAGACCTCTGCCTGCCCAGCAGTGCCGCACACCCTCCAGAACAGGTGACAGAGGCGGCGGCCCAGGTCTGGAGCTGAGGAGACCCAAAGGCTCCCAAGCTCCGACGCAGGGGGAGGAGGAGGGGAGCCTGGGGCCTGGGAGCCTAGAGACGGAGCCCAGGGGAGGAAACAGACACAAAGGCCAGGAACAGCGACAGGATGCATCTCAGAGGCAGGGCCCATTGGCTGGGACGACGGTTTGTCCCTGCGCTTGGCCAGGCGGTCTCCCTGGGGTCAGGGTCTCCCTGGGGTCAGGGTGGAATCACCCAGCCTCCTGGTCTTGGTTCTGTGCACGACAAATGTGGAAACTGCCTGCCTCAGAGGCCGCAGACTGCACGCAGGAGCGAGTTAAGGGGACAGGGCCCGACTCCAGTGGAAACTCAGACGCTCCATTCTGCAGGACACCCTGAAACGCACTCAACTGACACAAAGCCACTCCCTGTGGGCAGGGCTGCCCAATGATCAGACACAGAGATCTTTCCAGAAAAGCCTGCCACTGACCAGGCCCGCCATCTCTCACGGCCTGGGAGGAAGCGGGAGACGTCGCAGCTCAACTTTAACAGGATATCCACGCATTCTTGGGTTTTAGGTCACAGCGTCTGAATCCACAGGACAGAGGGACATGTAGACAGAGGGACATGCAGTACCAGGCAGCTGTGGACCCACAGGCGCATGCATCTCTGCTCCCTGTGGACCTGAGGTGTGCGGCCCGGGGCTGGGTAAAGCGATGTCCAGTCCATGACAATTAGGGAGCACACTGAGAGAAAAGACATGACCTCCAGAGCAGGGACAAAGAAAGTGTCAGGAAGTCACCAGCTCCCGCCAGGCTGTGATGGCGCACACCTTTAATCCCAGTGCCAGGACGGCAGAGGCAGGCCAATCTCTGAGTTCTAAGCCAGCCTGGCCTACAGAATTGCAGGACAGCCAGAACTACAGAGAAACCCAGTCTTGAAAAACAAAAACAAAAAAAGAAGTCCCCAGCTGGCAGGTGGCAATTCTCAGATGCAGGTGAACCTGCCTCTAAGAGACACCAGGCCTTGCCTGTAACCAGGAGCACTTCCAGCTGAGTGATTAGAGACCAGGGAGACACCAGAGCCACATCTGGAACCCAGAGCACTCCTAGTGTGGAGTGGGTGGGGATTAGGGACTCTGTCCAGGACCCCAAGCAGCCGAGAACATCCCTATCAGGGAATGACCTGGCCCCAAATACCCACAAGGTCAATGTTTATAGACATCATCTTTACAGTTCTGGCCTCACCCTAAAACACCCCTCGGTGATGGGGAGCGTGGAGGGACCTGCAGTCCAGGGACAAAGAAGCCCTGACCATGCTAGGGAAGAACAAGGTGAAACAAGGTCCTACTACCAAGGCCAGGAGAGTGGCTGCTACCACTGACTCTTCTTTCCAGTCTCCTCTCGTGATCCCTAGGCCTGAAGGTTCCGCCTGTCAGCCCTGCACCTTTCCCTACCGCACTCTCGTCTCCTTGCCTGGGTCACATCTCGGTCACCATCATCCGTGGCCAGGCTGTTCCTCCCAGCTACTCTGACACCTTCTACAGCACACACCCATCGAGTGACCTCCCTCTGAGGGGTGCCCTCCTCCTCCTCCCTAGGCACAGCTTCTCAGGGTGCAACCTCTGGGTCTCATCTTGCAGTACACTTTCTAAACAAGTCAGACACGCACCCCCTGAGTCCTGCACATGGTGAGGACCCCACATACTCCTGCTTCTACAGTGAACCAGATTTCCACCCTGCACCAAGGATCTCCATGGGGGCAGGGCCAGGAAGACCAGTAAGCACCGACAACCATGTGCTGAGCAGCGAGATAGAAAATGAGGAAGTTGTAGGAGAAAGAAATCAGCCTCCAACATCTGCCAGTGTAATAAGGGAGGGAGGGGACAGACAGCATGTGGGACCTCACTCACAGATGGCTGCCATGGGTAGAGCAAGCCAAGATACTTCACTCACTGCCACTCAAAGACCCAAGTGTTGTGATCACAAACCTAAAACCAGGCCTTGGTGTTACAAGGAGCCAGGAAGGGCTCTAGGGCGACCTACATATGCCTGCCTGCACTGGCATGCCCCAGCCAGCCAGCCCGTCGGGGTAGGAGGCACCCCCCCCCCAAGCAGCCAAGCTGAAGGGTGCAGACAGTGTAGACAGGCTGGGGGAGATGTCTCAGCAGCGGGTAAGGCGCCTGCCACCAAGTCTGAAGATCCGAGCCGGATCGTGGGGACCCACAGAGCAGGAGAGGACGGACTGCAGAAAGCTGTCCTCTGGCCTCTGCGTGGGCGCACACATGTCAAAGAGGAAAGAGCCGAGAGACAGACCGGGAGAGGTTCCCAAAACCTGCAAGGGCTCCCGGGGGGAGCCGGGCTGGCTCAGGCTGCACGCTCGGGCTCTGTCCCCGGGTGAGGACCTCACCGTGGGGGTGACGGGGACCATGGCGGAGTCCTGGGCTACACCAGGAAGCCTGATGTGGGACCCAGGGGCAGGACGACACCAGACACGGGACAGAGGTGGCCGGCGAGCGTCACCAGGGAGGCGGAGGTGGCGGGGGACGGCAGGCCCGGGCGGGGG